GCATGTAAACTTAATTCTATCAAAACAGTACTTTCTTGTTTCTGAGTGAACTTTAGGTGGGTTTATTTTTACAAATGCTCTTCTAGAATTCTCTTGTAATAAAGTTATTTTTAAGTAATAGTCTAGCGGCCAGCACTGTGGCTCACTTGGCTAATCCTCTGCCTGTGGCACCGGCTCCCTGTGTTCTAGTCCCGGTTGGGGCGCCAGATTCTGTGCCGGTTGCTCCTCTTACAGTCCAACTCTCTGCTGTGGCCCAGGAGGGCAGTAGAGGATGGCCCAAGTGCTTGGGCCCTGCACCCACATAGGAGACCAGGAAGAAGTACCTAGCTCCTGGCTTCGGACTGGCACAGCGCACTGGCCATGGCAGCCTTTTGGGGGGTGAACCAATGGAAGGAAGACCTTTCTCTCTGTCTCTCTCTCTAACTCTGCCTGTCCCCCCCCAAAAAAAGAGTCTAGCATAATGTTACAACTCTACTATTGAATTTAAATTTAAATTTTTTCTTTTTCCTATCTTGAGCCTGAATCAGACTCCTAAAATAAAGTAGGAAAAACAATCATAGTTTTTTTCTTTTTGGCCTCTCCTATTTGGTAGTTAGTCTTTGGGTTCCTCTGGCATTTGAAAGGGGGAGTTGTAGAAAAAATAGGAAAGGTCCTTCTTGATCTTGATTGGTACTGTTACGTCACTGGTGTCCTGGGATTGACAGACAGCCAAGTGCTGACTCTACATCAAAGGACCCTTCAGAGATTTCCCTATCACTAGGGCTCTCTCACTTGCTACTGCTGATTGATGACCTCCACAGTTTTTTTTTTTTTTTAAGATATATTCATTTTACTTTAAAGGCACAATTACACCAAGGGAGAAGCAGAGGCAGAGAGATCCCCTGTCTGCTGGTTCACTCCCTGAATGGCTGTGACAGCCAGAGCTGGGCCAATCCGAAGCCAGGAGACAGGAGATTCCTCCAAGCCTCCCACATGGGTACAGGGGCCCAAAGACCTGGGTCATCTTCCAATGCACTCCCAGGCACCTTAGCATGGAACTGGGTCAGAGGCGGAGCAGCTGGGACTTGAACCAGAGCCCATAAGGGATGCCAGTGCTTCAGGCAGTGTCTTAACCCGCTAAGCCACAGCACTGGCCCCTCAGTTTTTGCATTTGATATAATATCCAGCCTCCTTTGATTGTGATTACTTTGCCCTTTGTAGGAAGTTACACTGGGCATGACCCCTTTCAAGGTAATCCACAATTGCACCCATGCTATGGAATCCATGTCTGATTTGCACATATAATGTACAAATCTTTATTGTGTCAATTTCTGAAATGCCATCCAGATTCCTATTTATTCTGGTATTTTAAATCATCTAACATACTTTAGATTTTTCAGGCTTGAATCAGAAACCTAATTCCAGGGAACATATGGTGTGCCTTTTGAATCATTCTTTTGGAATTTCTCCTCTATGGAGAAATATGAACTCAGGATATGAACAAAGATAAGTTTCCTCCTCTCTGCCATCTAGCTTGAAGGATTACTTAAAAAGGATGGGTGGGCAGCGCTGTGGCAAAGTATGTTAATCCTCCGACTGTGGTGCCAGAATCCCATATGGGTGCCGGTTCGAGTCCCGGCTGCTCCACTTCTGATCCAGCTGTCTGCTGTGGCCTGGGAAAGCAGTAGAAGATGGCCCAAGCACTTGGGCTCCTGCACCCGTGTGGGAAACCCAGAGGAAGCTCCTGGCTTTGGATTGGCTCAACTCCGGCTGTTGCAGCCAATTGGGGAGTGAACCAGCAGGTGTAAGACCTTTCTCTCTGTCTCTCCCTCTACTGTCTGTAACTCTACCTCTCAAATAAATAAATATTTTTAAAAAACAAAAACAAAAAAAAAGGATAAGGAAGACAGAGAGTTGGGAAACAAGCAGATAATAGGAACTGGCTTCACTTCCTCAAGCCCAAACTCTGGAGATGGCGATAATAGACAGGATGATGATATTAGATGATGTGAAGAGAAAGCCATAGTAGAGGAGGTATATGAAAAATCCCTGTAGAGAGTACTAGCAGGAGATGTCCAAACAACAGGGTGGAAACTCAACATAAAAACAAGAGCTTAGGGGCAGGCGTTGTGGCACAGCAAGTGTACCTGCACCTGTGATGCCAGCATCCAATATGGACGCTGATTCAAGTCCCAGCTGCTCCACTTCCAATCTAGCTCCCTGCTAATGGCCTGGGAAGAAGCAGTAGATGGCCCAAGTCCTTGGGTCCCTGCTACCCACTTGGAAGACCCAGAAGAAGCTCCTGGCTCCTGGCTTTTGCCAGGCCAAGCCCCAGCCATTGTAGCCATCTGGGGAGTCAACGAGCGGATGGAATATTTCTCTCTCTCTAACTCTGAATCTCAAATAAATAAATAAATCTTAAAGGGGGGGGGGTCTTCCATCTGATGGTTCACTCCCCAATTGGCCACAACGGCCAGAGCTGCGCCGATCCGAGGCCAGGAGCCAGGAGCTTCTTCCAGGTCTCCCATCTGGGTGCAGGGGCCCAAGGACTTGGGCCATCTTCCACTGCTTTCCCAGGCCATAGCAGAAAGCTGGGTTGGAAGAGGAGCAGCCATGACTAGAACTGGTGCTCATATGGGATGCCGGTGCTTCAGGCCAAGGTGTTGACCTGCTGCACCACAGTAGCAGCCCCTGTACTCAAGAATATTAATCTTCAATCTCACAATCTCATTAGCACAGAATACTGGTAGTTTAGATTTCCACTAAAGAAAGTAACATTGTATTGTTTGCCATTTAATTCTGGTAAAAAATTAGTTTTAAGATAGTAACAACAGATGCCAGCGCTGCAGTGTAGTGGCTAAAGCTGCCTACCATGCTGGCATCCCAGCATGTTTATGGAACACTAGTTCCATAAGACATGGATTACCCTCAGGGCTGAATAATAGCTCATTAAAAAAAAAATGAAGGAACCATGTGGCAAAGTAAGTTCATCCTTTGCCTGCAGCAACAGCATCCCATATGGGCACTGGTTCGAGTCCCAGCAGCTCCACTTCCAATCCACCCCTCTGCTATGGCCTGGGAAAGCAGTAGAAGATGGCCCAAGTCTTTGGGTCCCCTTCCCTCCCTCCCTCCTTCTCCCTCCCTTCCTCCTTCCCTCTTCTTCCTCTCTCCCTCCATCCCTCCCTCTCCTTCCTTTCTTCCTTCCTTCTCACCCTCCCTCCCTCCCTCTCTCCCTCCCTCCCTCCCTCCTTTCCTCCTTCCCTCCCTCCCTTCCTTCCTTCCCTTTTTCTTTCTCAGACTAAAAGGGAGAGGGAAAAGAACAAAGGGTGGGAGAGTGGGTGGGAAGGCAGGTATGGTGGGAAGAATTACTGTGTTCTAAATGTTGTATTTACAGGACACATACAAATAAAAAAAATAGTAATATGTAAAAAAGGAATCAAAGCATATTTTGTGGAAATTCTTAGTGCAATAATTAATACTACAAAGGGAAAGCAGTTCCTCTTTAATAATTCACAATGAACAGGGATTTTTTTCAGACTATCTATAATATTACAATATAAAAAATAGAAGATTATTTCAATTTAGTAATATGAAATAATCACTTGTAATCCACAAATATTATTTTTCTCATGGTACTGCATTTCATGTGGTACAAATTTAAAATTTTTAGTCTTCTTGCTCAGAAAGGAAACAGAATATTCTGGTAATTGTGTAGGGACCAGAATAGAATACCAATTTTACATAATAGCACGAAGCAACACTTACAGGAACTAAATAATGAAAGAGAGCACAGGGTGAGTGGTGGGTATTTGGCACATTAGTTAAGATGCTGCTTGGGATGCTTGCATACCAATTTGGAGTGCCTGGGTTCAAGTCTCGTCTCCTCTTCCAATGCCAGCTTTCTGCTAATGAGCACACTGGGAAGCATTACCTGATAGCTCAAATACTTGGGTCCCTGCTACTCACGTAGAGACCCAAAATTAAGTTCTAGGTGACAGGTTAGCTCACCCTCAGCTGTTATAGCATCTGAGGAATGAGCCAGTGGATGGATGATCTGTCTGTCTCTATAACTATCTCTGTCTATCAAATAAGTAAATTTTAAAAAATTTAAAGAAACTCTTCAAGTCAGTAGATAAAGGTGAATACCCAAATTTTGTATAGCATTAAGAGTCATTGTGAATTTTTAAAATTTTTTAAAAATATTTATTTTATTTACTTGAAAGGCAGAATGCCAGACAGAGAAGAGGAGACAGAAAGAGGAGATTTTCCATCTGCTGGTTCACTCCCCGAATGACCACAATGGCCTAGGCAGAAGGCAGGAGTCAATGAGCGGATGGAATATTTCTCTCTCTCTCTCTCTCTAACTCTGAATCTCAAATAAATAAATAAATCTTAAAAGGGGGGAGGTCTTCCATTTGATGGTTCACTCCCCAGTTGGCCACAACAGCCAGAGCTGCGCCAATCTGAAGCCAGGAGCCAGGAGCTTCTTCCAGGTCTCCCATGTGGGTGCAGGGGCCCAAAGACTTAGGCCATCTTCCACTGCTTTCCCAGGCCATAGCAGAAATCTGGGTCAGAAGAGGAGCAGCTGGGACTAGAACCTGATAGCAGCCTGAAACTACATCCAGATGTCCCATATGTATGTCAGGGGCCCAAGGACCTGGGCCATCTTCTGCTGCTTTGCCACGCACGTTAACAGGGAGCTGGATCAGAAGCGGAGCAGCCTCGACTTGAGCTGGTGCTTTAATATGGATGCTGGTGTTGCAAGTGGCAGCTTAACTCACTGTGACATAACCCTGGGCCTCAGTGTAAATTTGTAAATACTTGACAAAATGAAGCTCAGATATATTAATTCAGATTAAGCCAACTAATTTATATAAGATAAAAATGTCATAAGAGTTTATAAAATGTTATTTTACAGATACATTATTAAGTTAAAACTGTGGAGTCAACTATCTCTCACATCACATCCCACCATTTACTCTACCAGCAGATCTTGTTAATCCTACTCTTAATGTATGTCCAAAATCTGACCATACTCACACTACCACTATTACACCTCTGGTCCACAACCTAGTATCTTTTGCTTAGATTACGGCAACAGTCTCCTAACTATAATCTCCCTTATTCCTTTCCTCCCCATAGTGTACTCTCATCACAGCAGGGAGGTGATTCCTCTAAAATATAAGAAACGTCACGTAATTCCTCAAAGACTTCCCAGCTCACCTAAAGTGTCTTCTAATGCCTTATAGATTTGGCCTCCTGCTTCTCCCAGCCCCATTGACCTTTCTCCTCTCCTCAGGCCCAAGTCTTCTTGCCTCAGGTCTTGTACTGACTGCTCCTTCCACCTGCAATGCTCTTTCTCTGCTGAACTACTCATTTTGCTCTGTCTCTTTCTTTAAGTCTCTACTTAAATGCTACCTTTTCAACAATGACTACCCTGACCACACTACTTAAAGCAGCAAACCTCTACCCCAGTACTCCCCAGCCCCTCTCTTGTTCTATTTTTTTCCATGATATTCATTACTGTATAACATGGCATAAGTTTACTTGCTTATTTATTGTTTATTTCTTCCCACTAGAAAATAGACTCAATGAAGGCAGAGATTTTGTTATTTATTTATTTATTTACTTATTTTGACAGGCAGAGTTAGACAGTGAGAGAGAGAGAGAGAGAGAAAGGTCTTCCTTTTTCTGTTGGTTCACCCCCAAATGGCTGCTAAGGCTGGCACGCTGCGCTGATCTGAAGCCAGGAGCCAGTTTCTTCCTCCTGGTCTCCCATGCACGTGCAGGGCCCAAGCATTTGGCCATCCTCCACTTGCCTTCCCGGGCCACAGCAGAATGCTGGACTGGAAGAGGAGCAACCGGGACAGAATCTGGTGCCCCAACCGGGACTAGAACCCAGGGTGCCGGCGCCGCAGGTGGAGGATTAGCCAAGTGAGCTGCGGCGCTAGCCAGATTTTGTTTTTAATCAGTTTTGTTTATAACTAACAATCCTGACACACAGTGAATCCTTAAGAAATATTGAGTAAATTTGTAGACTTACAATCATATTTGCTATGTAACTATTAGAATACAAGGTTTTCAAAAGCACAACAAATTTAAAATATTCAGTTCTTACTTTTTTATACAGCATTTCTGATAGTCTTCTGAAGAAGTTCCTAGGAAAGGGGAGGAAAACCCTGTAATTCAAAGATAATCCAGAGGATAAAATTAAGTAAAAATCAGTATTTTCCTCAAGATCCATGGTGAAAGTACATTTCATTTTTACAACTTTATTGCTTTAATTTTTATATCTTCCCATTAAATTAAGCAAAAGAATGTCCAAAATATCAAAATAAAACACAAAGTGTTGCAAAATTTTTTTAGATAGAAGAATTTGTCACCTTGTATTTACATAGTTTACACTGTTTGAAGTATTTTTCTATTATCTCACTGATTCTTACAACAATCTCCTCAAACATATCAATTTATTTGCTTATGTAAAAAAGATTTATTTATTTATTTCAAAGGCCAAGTGACGGGGGTGGAGAGGGGAGGGAGGAAGAGGAAGAGGAAGCAGAAGCGAAACAGAGTTCTTCCATCTGTTGGTTCACTCCCCAAATGGCTCAAACAGCCAGGGCTGGGTGAGGCTGAAGCCAGGGACCAGGAATTCCATTATGGTCTCCATGTATGTGGCAGGGGTACAAATACTTGCACCGTTTTCTGCTGCCTTCCTATGTGCATTAGTAGAGAGCTGGGTCAGAAGCAGAGGAGCCAGCAGCACTCTGATACAGGATATCAGTGTTGCAAGTGGTGGCTTAACTTGCTGTACCATAATTCCAGTTCCAGCAATATGCCAATTTATTACCCCCATTTTAAATACAAGAAAAAATTAATTGCTCAAGTTACAAACTAATAGCTGGATACTTGGAAGTTTAACTCAGGTCACGTGGTTCTTAGTTCAGTACCAAATATCTAGATGTACATACCAGTAGACCAATTAGTTAACGGAATTTCTCCCAGTAAACATTTGACTACCCCAGGTAGACCAGGATATTGCTAAAAATATAAAAAACTATGAGACTAGTCTTCACAGCTGCACACTTTGATTGCACTAGGTTCAAATTTAACACTCCCAACAGTTAAGGGGAGATAAAGTGAACAGTGCCTCCTAAACATTTCCTTGAGAGGGAAGTTCTGAAACATACAGGACTGCAGTAGACACTTACCATCTAGCATCTGCTCTGTTTTTGCTGTTAACGGTTTCCTGATATTTTTTATGATGATTCAGGCATAGCCTATAATTCAACACCGTGAAAGCCCTGCATCTTCCTGGCCAAACTGGGTTAGAGTAGACATATGAACTAACTGAAGTGAATATGAAAGGCCCAGTGCTTCTATGCAAGTAGTTGGAAAATAGAGACAATGTTCTTACTGGATTTGAGACTGTGAGTACATTAGCCTGGAGACAGAAATAGGTGCTTTATAAAGGGATGTGACTGAGTGTGTAAATGATACAAAAGTGATCCTGAACTAAAAGATGGAGAGGAATTGGGTCTTACTGATATCATTTGAAACCCTGGATTAAGCTGTATGTATACCCTTTACTGTTGGACTTGTCAGGTAAAAGTAGAAATAAAAAGAAGTTTTCAAACTAAACAAAACACAGAATAAAAGGTCTCCAAGTACTGTCAGAAATTACCATTCAGATAGTGATCAACTTTACCATTAAGGACCTCTGATTCAGCATTTAATTCTCTGCTTGATATCTCCTCTGCTTACCAGATGTTAGTGCTTGCTAGGCCACTAGGACAAAAATGGCTAACTCTGCACCTGGTAAAACTGGGAGCAAGAAAAATGACTCTGAAGATAACACTGATAGGTTTTATTGATGTGACTCTACTGATTTGACTCTGCCTTTTACCAGCTCCTTGCTAGGGACATGGGCTGAGAAGACCATACAGTGTACATTGTTGATTCTGATAAACCAAGGCAGCTTTTTCTCATCCATGCCCACTTTCTCATGGTGGATGTTGGCCTCTGAGAGAATACATGGTCCTTTCCCAAACACAGAGCATAAAAAGGACAACTGCCCACAACCTGGGAGCAGGAAGGGGTTTGAAGCATTCATTCAGACCTTCCCATCTGCTGTCCACCTGGGCTAAAATCTTAGTTTACTATGTTGTCCCTTTTACAATAAAAGTATTTTCTATCTTGACTGGTTGTCTCTGAACCTTCTTTGGACCTGTATCTTAGACCTAACAGTGGCAGGCTCTAGTAGAGAGGCTAACAACATCCAATCTTGCCCTGATTTTCCCTTGCCATTTACCACTACAGATGTTAGGAAGGCAGAATACTTCAGTCCTCCACCTCCTTAGTGGTAGGCATAAATATGACCCAGTTCTGGCTAATGGACCTAAATATAGGTCTCTCAGGGAACTTCAGGGAAAGCTTTTGCTCTTCTGATAAAAAGAAACACAAATGGCTACTACTGGCCTTTCACATTCTTTCTTCCAGGAACATGGCTGTGATGCTGAGAGGTTTAGCAGCTATCCTATAACTCTAGGGTAATAAGCCAACACACTTGGCAACCGGAAGATACAAAGACCGAGGATGTTAATGTTAGTAGTGAACTGCTACACTCACTACTGGTGTGGGAGAAAAATAAACCCCATATAAGCAAAAAATTCTTGCATGACAATAATATTACAAACAAAACAAAAAGAACTAAGTAACTGGGAGAAAATTTGTACTCTTTGTGGCATATGTACTACTATAAACCACAGACAAAATGCTAATATTCTTTTTTAAAATATTTATTTATGGCTGGTGCTGTGGCTCACTAGGCTAATCCTCTGCCTGCGGCACCGGCACCGCAGGTTACAGAATCTGGTCTGGGCGCCGGATTCTGTCCCTGTTGCTCCTCTTCCAGTATAGCTCTCTGCTGTGGCCCGGGAAGGCAGTGGAGGATGGCCCAGGTCCTTGGGCCCTGCACCTGCATGGGAGACCAGGAGGAAGCACCTGGCTCCTGGCTTCAGATTCGCGCAGCGCACTGGCTATAGCAGCCACCTAGGGGGTGAACCAACGGAAAAAGGAAGACCTTTCTCTCTGTCTCTCTCTCTCACTATCTAACTCTGCCCATCAAAAAAAGATTTTTTATTTATTTGAGGGGCTGGCATGGTGGTGCAGTAAGTTAATCCTCCGCCTGCGGCCCTGGCATCTCATATGGGCACCGGTTCTAGTCCTGGCTGCTCTTCTTCCAATCCAGCTCTCTGCTATGGCGTGGGATAGCAGTAGAGGATAGCTCAAGCCCTTTGGCCCCTGCACCCAAAGAGTGTGTGTGGGAGACCAGAAGAAGCTCCTGGCTCCTGGTTTCAGACTGGCACAGCTCCAGCCATCGCGGCCATCTGGGTAGTGAACCACTAGATGGAAGACTTTTCTCTCTGACTCTTCCACTCACTGTCTAAACTCTACCTCTCAGATAAAACAAATAAAATCTCTAAAAAAATTTTATTTATTTGAAAGGCACAGTTACAGAAGAGAGAGAGAGAAAGAATGAAAGAGAGAGAGAGTCTTCCATCTCTGGTTCAGTCCCCAAATGGCTGCAATGACCAGGGCTGGGCTGATCTGAAGCCAGGAGCCTGGAGCTTCTTCCACATCTCCCAGGCAGGTGCAAGGGCCCAGCCCAAGGACTTGGGCCATCTTCTACTGCTTTCCCAGGCCATGGCAGAGAGCTGGATTAGCAGTGTAACAGCCAGGACTCGAACCAGTGCCCTTATGGGATCCCAGCACTACAGGCGGTGGTTTTACCCAATATGCCACAGATGTTAATATGCTTAACATATAAATAACTCTTAAAAATTGAGGGTCGGGTTGGCATTGTGCTGCAGTGCACTGCCTCTGTAACTCTGCTTCTGACAGTGGCACTCCATATCAGAGAGCTTGTTTGAGTCCCAGCGGCTCTACTTTTGATCCAGTTCCCTGCCAATGTGCCTAGGAAGGCAGAAGCAGATGATAGCCCAAGTCTCTGGCAAGCAAGTGGGAGACCTGATTGGAATTCCTGGATTCTGGCTTCAGTAGGTCCAGCCAAGGCTGCTACAGCTGTTTGGGGAGTGGACCAGTAGATGGAAGATATTCTCTCATTCTCTCTCATTCTTTTTCTCTTTCTCTCTCTGACTCTGACTCTCAAATAAACAAATAAATCTCTAAAAAATATATAAGGAAGCTCTCTGTAAAGCCAGATGGAGCACTGGAATATACAGTACATACTGCTAAGTGGAAATAGCAAAGAGAAAAGAGTAAAATATAGAATAATGTCTTCCATGTAACAAATACAAAAAAGTCAGAGAACACAAGCTATCCGCTCATTTGCACAAAAGAAATACACGAAGAATAAACCAGAAACCAAAGAGATGGTTTCCCTTCATTGCCTCTGATGGCTGCTAAAATTAGTGAGAAGTTCTGATAGAAACATAATTTACAGTCTCAATCTCTTTCTACATATGTATTAATTACAAATGGAAAATAGTAGCTTTACAGTGGAGAAACTCAGCAGACACTATTATAATCAAGTACTGAAATTTAATACCACCAGTAATAAGAAATAATGATATCATAAATCCCTTGATATATGATAGCATACACAAGCAGGTCACATATCATTTCTGTAGCATTCTTTTTTTTAAAAAGAAGAGTTATTTATTTATTTATTTATTTGAGAGGTAGAGTTACAGAGAGAGGGAGAGACATAGAGAAAGGTCTTCTATCTATTGGCTCACTCCCCAAATGGCCACAACAGCTGGAGTTGGGCTGATCCAAAGCCAGGAGCCAGGAGCTTCTTCTGGATCTCCTACATGGGTGCAGGAGCCCAAGAACTTGGGCCATCTTCCACTGCTTTGCCAGGCCATAACAGAGAGCTGGATTGGAAGTGGAGCAGCCGAGATTGAGACTGGTGCTCAAATGGGATGCCAGTGCCATAGGTGGAAGCTTAGCCCACTATGCCACAATGCCAGCCCCCCTTGTGGTATTCTTACCAAAGACTGCATAACCTCATTCCAGTTCATGAGAAAACATTAAGACAACTTCACATCAAGGGAAATACTACAACATAATTTATCAGTAATCTTTAAAAGCATCAAGACTATGACAGATTAAGGAATTGTTACAGACTGCAGGAGACTAAGGAGAAGGATGCAACGTGAAATTCTGAGAATGATTTTGAAACATATCAGTGGAAAAACTGACAAAATTTTAATAAGGTTAATAATTTAGTTAATAATTTGTGCCAATATTAATATCTTGGTTTTGATTTAAAGTTACCCAAGATAAAATCAGGGAGTGGGCACTGTGGCACAGTGGATTAAGTGGTTGCTCGGGATGCCCACATGCCATATCTGAGTACCTGGGAAGGAGTCCTACCTCTGCTGTCAATCCTGCTTCCTGATAATGTGCCTGGAAAGCAGCAGGTTACAGTACAAGTGCTAGGGTTCCTGCTACCCTGTGGGAGACCCAGATGGAGTGCGTGGCTCTTGGCTTTGCCTGACTCAGCCCTGTCTGTTGCAGGCATTTGGGGAATGAACCAGAGGATGGGAGACATTTCTGTCTCTCCTCTCTCTGCCTCCTTTCATCCCTCTCTCCCTCTGTCATTCTGCCTTTCAATAGATAGGTAAAATTTAAGATAACAGGGAAAACTGGATGACAGGTATATAGGAACCTTCTGTACTATTTTTGTTTTACAAGTGATTTTATTTGACACACACACACACACACACTGCTTCCCCCCGACATTCATTGGTTCAGATCACAAACGCTTGCAACACCCAGGGGTGCCAAAGCCTGGACCTGGGAGCTCAATCTGGGTTTCTCATGTGAGTGGCAGGGACCCAACTACTTGAGCCACCAATGCTGCTTCTCAGGGTCTGTGCATTATCAGGAAGCTGAAGTCAGGAGCCAGAGCTGAGACTCGAACCTAGAAACTCTGATGTGGGACATGGGCATCTTAACAGGTATCCTAACAACCAAGCCAAGCATGTGCCTCTGCAACTTGTCTGTAAGTCTGAAATTAGCTCAAAATAAAAAGTTACAGAAAAGTAAACCCATATTACTTAAACTCCTATTAGATATTTTTTGTAGTCAAAGGCAATCTCAATTTGCATACTTAGCTTGGAAATAACTCAAGAGAAAAAATATTTTGTTTTTCCAACACAGATGAGGGATTTTGTCCTCATGACATGAAAAAAATGAGCACAAAAACTTACCTAAAATTGCAGAGAGTTCTGAAAAGTGTGGCATCTTCTCTATTGCTACTGCATTACTGGTATCCAGAAGAGTGGAATTCTTGCACAGCATGTGTTCTTCTACCTTGGGACGCTCCCACACTGAAAAAACAGAAATCAAAGGGACTGAAACTCTTTAGAACAGCCTTTAAGTGATAGGTTACTTTCATCCCCTCAACTCAGGCACACAGCTCATACCAACAGTTTAGATGAAAAACAACAGTACAACATGGGTGAGCAGAGTGGAACAGCAAGGTTAAGCTGCTGCTTTAGATGCCCACATCCCACATCAGAGCGCCTGGTATTGAGTCCTGCCTCTGCTTCTGATACAGCTTCCTTTTAACGTGCCTGGAAGGCAGCAGATGATGGTCCAAGCACTTGGGTCCATTCCACCCGCATGGGAGACCCAGATGGAGTTCCTGTCTCCTGGCTTCAGCATGGCCCCGTGCTGGTTATTGTGGGCATCTGGGGAGTAAACCAATGAATGAATGATTCCTCTCTCTCCCTCACTCTGTCATTCTGCCTTTTAAATAAATAAATAACAAAATGACAACCTTAATGGCACCAAGATAGGAATTAACTGACGGCCTATTCTGTTTCTGTAGCTCTGTCTTCCACCCTAGATTTTTGCTCCATAAAGAGTATTGATCCGGGCTGGAGCCGCGGCTCACTTGGCTAATCCACCTGCGGCGCCAGCACCCTGGGTTCTAGTCCTGGTTGCTCCTCTTCCAGTCCAGTGCTCTGCTGTGGCCCGGGAGGACAGTGGAGGATGGCCCAAGTGCTTGGGCCCTGCACCTGCATGGAAGACCAGAAGAAGCACCTGGCTCCTGGCTTCGGATCTGCGCAGCACGCTGGCCGTAGCGGCCATTTGGGGGGTGAACCAATGGAAGGAAGACCTTTCTCTCTGTCTCTCTCTCTCACTGTCTAACTATGCCTGTCAAAAAAGAAAAAAAAAAGAATATTGATCCAAAGGACTTCCAGCATACATGTGATTGGCTGAATCTCACATTTTGGGGGGTAAGTTATACTTATGTACTATTAAATTACTCAGATACTAATTGTAAGCTTTCTAGTGACTTCTCACTACAAAAGAATAAACTTGCTCCTTTTATATCTGCCTGCTCCCACTTTTCCCATCCCTCCCATATTCAAGTTAGACATTATGATGATAAAATACTTTAAAGATATTATTTAATGTTTCTTTGAAAAATATATTTATGTATTTATTTGAAAAGCAGAGCAGCAGAGGGGGGAGAGACAGGGAGAGTGAACAACAGAGAATGTCCATCTTCTGGTTAATTCTCCAAATGGCTACACAGCCAGGTGTGGGCCAGGCTTAAGCCAGGAGCCCAAAGCTCTATCGAGGTCTTCCTTCTGTGGCTTTCTCACGCACATTTAGCAGGGAGCCAGATCAGACATGGAACAGCCAGGGCACTAACCAGCACTCAAAAACAGGATGCCAGAGGTGAAAGCGACATCTTAGATCATCATAGAGAAGATCTATCCTCTTATGTGATCAGGTGAATCACAATACAAATTACACTTGTGGCATATCAAGACTACCTTTTGTTTTTCCTGAAGTCATTAAGTTGATTTTTCTTTCAGCTTTTCTATGTATTTTCCATCTATTTAATCCCACGCTCTACCAAATGTATAAATTCATTCTGTTTACTTCATTCTCTGAAGTTCCAAAGTTTAATAATGCTATACTTTGGAGTTTTTCTCTACTGTATGAGTACAGTGTAGCCTTTTAACCTGGAAACTCATATTCTTTAGCTCTAGAAAATGCTACTGAATTCTTTCTCTGATAATATATTTTTTCCTTTTTCCATGAACTTTTTCTAGAACTCCTATTATTTTATGTTGGATTTCATATACTATTTCTCTAATAGATTTTCCTCTAAATTTTAATCTTTTGATTTCACTTTATGCTATTAATTCATTCCTCCCTGTGAGAAATCACAGTTTTATCCCCAATCCTTCTCCTGAGTTTTACACTGTTACTTCATTTTTTTTTACTTCATTTAATTCTTCTTGAAATATTCCTCTTTTATAGCTTATATTCCCATTTAATAGATGCATTATGTATTTTCTTTACCACAGGTGAATACTTTTTTCCCATTATTTTCTTCTCCTTGCATTGTTTCTGTATCTGCTTCAAAATTTTACAGTAGTTAGAACACTAACATGAGATCTATCCTCTTATTAAAGTTTTAAGTGTACCACATAATATTATTAATTCTAGGCATGGTATTAAATAGCAAAGCTCTAGAATTTTCTCAAACTGCATAAATGAAACTTAATACCTGTTGAACAGCAACTCCCTATTCACCCTTGCCTTCTAGTTTGTCAACCACTATTCTACTCCCTACTATTTAAGATACTTCATGTAAGTGCTATTGTGCAGTATTTGTCCATCTGTGTCTGGCTTATTTCACCCAGCATGTCTTCACAGTTGATCAGTGTTTGAGCAAACAGCAGGACTTCTTTATTTTTAAGACAAGTATGTAAATGTCACATTTTCTTTATACATTCATTCGTTAATAGACAGTTAGGTTGTTCTCTTGTCTTGGCTATTGTGAATAATGCTGCAATGAACATGAGAATACTAGAACATCTTTGAGGTCCTGATTTCAATGATTTTGGATAAATACCCAAAAGAGGGATGGATGGCTCATTGGCAGTTTTAATTTTTTAGAGAAATCTCCATAGTTTCCACAGATGCTGAACCATTTTACATATCCAGCATTGGTGCAAAAGGGTTCCAATTTATTCACACCCTTGCCAATCCTTATCTTTGTTTCTGTTCTTTGAAAAGTTATCTTAACAGGTATGAGGTGATAGCTCATTGTGGTTCTGAATGTCATTTTCCTAATAATTAATGATGTTAAATATTTTTTCATGGGCCCATCAGCCATCCGCATATCTTCTTTGGAAAAATGTCTATTCAAGTTCTCTGTCCAATTTTAAATCAGTTAATTGGGGGTTTTGTTGCTGCTGTTTCATGTTTTGTTTTGCTATTAAGTTACAGGGGTTCCTTACATATTTTAGGCATCAGTCCCTTTATCAGATATATGATCTGCAAATATTTTCTCCCATTTTATAGGTTGTTTTTCTTTTGCTGTGCAAAATTTTTTTAGTTTGATGTAGTCCCTCTTAGTCTATTTTTGCTTTTGTTGTCCTAGCCAAGAAATCATTGCTTTAAACCTTTACTCACGTTTTCTTACAAAAGTACTGAAGTTTCAAGTCGTATGTTTACTTCAAGTTTATTTTTCTGTATTTTATAGTAGTTCAATTTCATTATTTTGCATATGGATATAGTCTTCTCAGCAGCATTTGTTGAAGAGACTATCCTTTCCTTATTATGTATTCTTGGTACTCTGTTAAAGATCAGTTGATCTTCAGGGATATCTCATTTCATTGCCATGTGCTTTAGTACACTTTACAGCTACTGAATTTTTTACAAATGGAAAGTGTGTGGCAACCCTGCATCAAAGAAATCTATTGATGCCATTTTACTAAAAGCATGTGTTCACGTTATATCCCTGTGTTGCATTTCAGTAATTCTTTAAACATTTAAAGCTCTTCATTATTATTTTATCTGTTATGGTGATCTGTGATCATCAATGTTTGATGTTACCATCATGATTGTTTTAGGCCACTACCAATTGCAAGATGGCATACTTAACCAAGAAATGTTGCATGTTCTGACTAGGTATTCTCCCACTTCTCTCCCTCTTTCTGGGCCTCTGTATCCTGAGACACAGCAACATTGAAATTAGGCCAATTAACCTTCCTACAATGGCTTCAATGTGATCAACTAAAAGGAAGAGTCACATGTCTTTCACTTTAAATCAAAAGTTAGAAATGATTAAGCTTACCAAGGAAGGCTGCTGAAAACCAACCAAGGCTGAAAGCCAGGCCTTTAGTGCCAAACACCCAAGTTGTGAAAGCAAACAAAGTTCTTACAGGAAATTTAAAAGGCTATTCCAGGAGACGTATGAATGATAAGAAACTGAAACAGTCTTACTGTTGATACAGTAAAGGTTTTAGTGGTTTAAATAGAATACCAAAGGAATCACAACATTTTTAAGGCAAAATCTAATCCAGAGCCCAATTCTCTTCAATTCTAGAATGACTAAGATGAGAAGGCTAGAGAAGAAAAGTTTGAAGGTAACAGAGGCTGTTTCATGTGGTTTAAGAGGCTGTCTCCACAACATAAAAGTACAAGGTAAAACAGCAAGTGCTTATTGTAGAAGATGCATCAAGTAATCCAGAATATTTAACTAACATAATTGATGAAGGTGGCTATGTTAAACAAGAGACTTTCAACATAGACAAAATAGCCTTACGTAAGAAGCCATTTATGACTTTTATAGCTAAAGAGAAGTCAATATCTGGCTTCAAAGTTTCAAAGTACAGGCTGACTCTCTTGGGAGTGGCTAATGAAACTAGGACTTTGGGGCTGGTGCTGTGGCGTAGCAGGTAAAGCTGTCGCCTGCAGTGTTAGCATCCTGTATGGGCGCTAGTTCAGGTCTCAGCTGCTCCAATTCCGATCCAGCTCCCTGCTATGGCCTGGGAGAACAGAAGATGACCCAAGTCCTTGGGCCCCTGCACCTGTGTGGGAGACCCAGAAGAAGCTCCTGGTTGCTGGCTTCGAATTGGCCCAGCTCCGGCCGTTGCGGCCAATTGGGGAGTGAATCATCAGATAAAAGACCTCTCTCTCTATGCCTCTCCTTCTCTATCTCTGTAACTTTGACTTTCAAGTAAATGAATAAATATTAAAAAAAAAAAAAAGAAGAAGCTAGGACTTTCAGTGGAAGTCAATGCCCATTTATGGCTCAGAAAATCCTGGAACCCTAACAAATTATATTAAATTTATTCTTCTGTGATTCATAAAGGGATCAACAAAGCCTAGATTACAGTATGACTTTTTATAACATGGTTTACTGAATATTTTAATAGCACTGTTGAGACTGACTTATCAGAAAAAAAGATTATTTTAAAAATATTACTGCTCTGGGGCCAGCGCTGTGGCATAGCAGGTAAAGATGCTGCCTGCAGTGCCAGCATCCTATATGGGCACCTGCTCTAGTCCCGGCTGTTCCACTTCCAATCCAGCTCTCTGCTATGGTCTGGGAAAGCAGTAGAAGATGGCCCAACTCCTTGGGCCCCTGCACCCTTGTGGGAGACCCGGAGGAAGCTCCTGGTTTCAGATTGGCTCAGCTCTGGCTGCTGCAGCCAACTGGGAATGAAGCAGCAGATGGAAGACATCTCTCTCTGTCTCTCCTTTTCTCTGTGTAACTCTGTTAAAGATTTATTTATTTATTTGAAAGTCAGAGTTACATAGAGAAGGACAGGCAGAGAGAGAGAGGTCTTCCATTCAATGGTTCACTCCCCAAATGGCCACAACGTCCAGAGCTGCGCCAAAAGCATTATGGAAAGGATTAACCATTCTATGCAAATAAGAACATTCATGACTCATGGAGGGAGATCAAAATATCAACATTAATAGCAGTTTGGGAGAAGCTGATTCCAACCACCATGGATGACTTTGAGGAGCTCAAGGATTCAGTGAAGGAAGTAACTGTAGATCTGATAGAAACAAGAGAGGAAGCAGAGCCTCGAGATGTGATTGAATTGCTGCAGTCTCATCATAAAACATTAATGGATAGGGAGTTGCTTCTTACAGATCAGCAAAGAAAGAGATGGAATCTATTCCTGATGAACATTCTGTGAAAACTGTTGAAAAGACAATAAAGGATTTATAATATTACACAAGCCTGGTTGAAAAAGCAGCATCAGGATTTGAGAGGACTGACTACAACTTTGAAAGAAGTTCAACTGTGGCTAAAATACCATCAGCCAATATTGCATGCTACAGAGAAATCCCTGTGAATGGAAGAACTAATCACCACAACAGATTTCACAGTGTGTCATTTCTAAAAATTGCCACAACTACTACAACCTTCAGTAACTTTCACCCTGATTGGTCTTCAGTCATCAGCATCAAGGCAAGACTGTTCCACCAGCGAAAAGATTATAACTTGTTTAAGGCTCAGATAATAATTAGCAGGTGTGAACAGAATATTCGATTAAGGTACATACATTGTTTTTTGGACATAAAGATACATAGGAAATATAACTTTTATATGCACTGGAAAGCCAGAATTTCCATGTGCTTCACTTTATTGTAAAAAAAAAAAATTTCACTTTATTGCAGTGGTCTGAAATGGAACCTTCAATATCTCTGGGGTATTCTCATACATTAGTCCATCTGATGGTATACTGCAAGTCCTTGAAGCTTTAACTTTGTTCATTATCTTTTTCTCCTCAGACACAAAATTTTAACTGACCCATCTCTGAGTTCACTGAATTTTTCTCATTTTTGGTCTAATCTGCTATTGAAACTCTATTGGCCAGCACCACGGCTCACTAGGCTAATCCTCCGCCTGCAGCGCCAGCACACGAGGCTCTAGTCCCGGTCGGGGCGCCGGATTCTGTCCCGGTTGCCCCTCTTCCAGGCCAGCCCTCTGCTGTGGCCAGGGAGCGCAGTGGAGGATGGCCCAAGTGCTTGGGCCCTGCACCCCATGGGAGACCAGAAGAAGTACCTGGCTCCTGCCATTGGATCAGCGCAGTGCGCCGGCTGCAGCGCGCTGGCCGTGGCGGCCATTGGAGGGTGAACCAACGGCAAAGGAAGACCTTTCTCTCTGTCTCTCTCTCACTGTCCACTCTGCCTGTCAAAAAAAATTTAAAAAAAAAAGAAACTCTATTGATTTTTTCAGTTCTGTCGCTCCCCGTCTTCGTGGAGGAGCGACACTGAACCCTGCCTAGGCTTCATATCCGAGTCACGGCACCATTATGTCACTCCCCCTCTTCGTGGAGGAACGACACAGGACCCTGCGCTGTTTTTTCGTCTGCTCGGCCCTCCCCGGGTTTGCTGCTGGTTCCTCCCGGGTTGGCTACTATCCCTTCCACCTCCGTGGAAGGGCAGTTCCCCCTGGCCGCATTCCCCACTTCCGCAGGGGAGCGGCACACCGCCGGCCGGCTCTCTCGGGGGCTGCACAGGCGTTCCTTCAGATGTTCCCCTTAGATGTTCCTGGTGCATGCCGTCTCTCTCCTCCTTTATAGTCCTCCTCCGCCAATCCTAACTCGGCTGCCCACACGCCGAGTACGCTGCTCTCCTCCAATCAGTAGCAAGTCCTACAGTTTATTGGTTGAACTGGAGGCAGCTGTGCGGAAGCTGTTTACTTCTCTCCCAGCGCCATATTGTGGGAGAGCAGATGCATAGAATAAGTCTTAATTCCAGTAACTCAGTCCAGTCCGGGCTGCTCCCCACAAGTTCCATTACTGTATTCTTCAACTCCAAGATTTCTGTTTAGTTCTTGTTAAAATCTATTTTGAAATTTTCACTTTGTCCATGCATTGTTTTCCTGAGCTTGTTGAGCATCTTTATGATTATTTTGAATTACCTATCAGATAATTCCTGTATCTCCATTTCATCAGTGTTAGTTTCTGGGGCTTTGCCTATGCCTTTGCTTGGACTATTTCCCTGTTTATTTTGACACATAGCTTTGGCATACATACATTAGAAAATATAGCCACCTCTCCCACCCTCATGGACTGGCCTTGCAAGAAGGCACTAATCAGTTCACCCAGATATTTTGCAGACCTTTTAATCTTTCTTTTAATCCAAACCACCAAATTTGTTCATAGTGACTCTCAGACATCAAGAGCATGTCAGGTCCTATCAGTGTTCTGAGACAGGTGAGACAGATGTCAGTCCTATGGGAAGTCCCTAGAAAAGTTGGAGCACTGGACACACAATTCAACTTTTCCTTTTCTAGGAGAAGCTTGGGTCTGGAATGTTTTGACTACTCACTCTCCACTGAGTCACTAGAGAAGCTACAGCGATTGCTTGTGTGCTACACCATCTTTGTTCTCAGCAGGTACTAAGCATCTAGAGTATTCTGGGTCCCATTAACACTCTGAGACAATCAGGAATTCAGGCCCTCAAGTACCCCTCAGAAAATTCAGAATGTTTTATGTTTTAGTCCTTTCTCTTTCCATTCTCCTTTGGAAGAAGCTGGGAACCGTGGGCTCCCCCCAAATCGTACATTGCTGTGCTAATTATAGAAAGAGGATTTTTAAAATTTTCCTACCAGCTTTGATGTAGCTGGTCTCATAGTCACCCAGGGTTCAGAAGCCTCTCAATTAGTTTCTCTATTTCTCAAAAACAGAATTGGTCCATGTAAGCTATTGAATCATATGCAAGGGTAGAAAGAGGGATCCAGGGCTTCCTATTCCAACATCTTACTGATATCATTTATACATTTTGTTTTGATTTCTATTTGTTAGAAGCTTTTTTCAGAAATATGGTGATCTTCTGCCCTCTGCCCACATTCAAAAGGGACCCTAAACTCTTAAGAGGAACTCCTATCATCTAAATGTGTCTTGTCATATACATATATTGACTCTAAAGGTGTTCTGGCTGGTCAATTTCATTGAAGGATTCCTGAGGTTGGTATCTTTAGATATTTTATTGTGGGCTCTTCAGATTCCTCAGAAAAGAACATTCCAACGTTCTTTCTGGAAAGTTCAAGTCTATATGCCACTATCTGAAAGCTGAGCAGAGAAATGGACCATTGGGTTAGAATGGGAATAGATTAGGATCGACATTTTCATTTAATTCTCACTTCTCTGTGCTCACTGTAGCATTTGTATAGTCAGCTTTTGCTGTATAGTAAACAACCTCTGAACTCAGCGGCAAAAGATAAAAAACATTTATTACTTATTCCCATGTCTGCCAGCTGGCTCTGGTAGCTGTGCTAAAGTTACAGGTCTGCAGACGAACTGGAGCAGTTCTCTACAGTCTGTGCGCTGCCTGGGACTGCTCTGCTCTATACTTCTCATTGTGGGATCCCACAGGCAAGTCAGAGCTAAACAGGATGATACCAAAAGTGCAAGAGAACAAACACAAACGTTGAAGTATGTTTCAAAGCTTTTCTTAAGTTTAAGTCATGGATACCCCTTCACCCAAAAGCAAGTCACATGGTCAATTTCAAAACCAAGAGTAGAAAAGTATACAGAACCTCCTATGAGGTTATGAAAAGGGTACAAATATAAAATATTGCTACAAGAGAATGAATTGGAACCAACATTTCAAAAGAGCTATTAACAGTACCCTGCTATTAACAGTACCTAATGTTCTCCAGTCAAGAGTCTGTTTCAAATGTACTAAAGAAAAAATCTTCAGACTCAATTTGAGTATGTAAAGATCAGTTGCTATATTGTCCATGTTTTTGACTTTTTTTTTTTACAAGTTTTAGTACAACCAAATTGTGAGCTTTTCTGAGAAATTAATATAAACTGGCTTGTTTCTGGAGTACTGACATTGTATAAGGACTCAACTCTCTCAAATGTGTGCTGTTTCAAACCATCTGCTCTCTAGCTTTCCAAACTTTTTGCTTTTTCTTGCCCGTTTCTCTTGGTCCTTATGGGTTTATGGCTTTAAACAGAAAAGAAGAAAAAGCCATTTCTGCCAGTGCAGAAAGTTGCAGAAGGCTTGTATTCAGTCTGCTACTTCTAACCAAAGGTTCCATTTATATACATAGTAAATGTGTAAATAACTATTAACTTGTAAAGAAAATTCAAGCAGGGCCTTGGTCTAGTTAATATTTAAGTTATTTTCTGAAAAGTAAGAGAAGTATAGGAAATAAAAGAGAGTTCACAGTTCAAGAGAACAAATAAATGCTCATCTGTAAAACTGATAAATAATTACATATATATAACATGAAAGCATTAAATAACATTTCATCCTTCTCTGGGCTGAGAGCTTTTGTGCTACAATCTTATGTGGCTGAGCATGAAACAGGTGTTGGTGATATTGTCTTAAAAGAAACATTTATTTATCAAAGGATTTGTAGACAAAGGAACAATTTCTACAGTGGAACAATTTAAGTTGCAAACTGTTTTCTCACCTAAATAATCTGATCCTCTGAACAATTCAGGTGATGAGAAGCTACTTAAACTCTCTTCAAAACTCTTGCATTCTTCATAAGATTCGGTGACTGAACAGCTCAGGAGAGAACTGGAACTATCATGCTGTAAATTTAATGCTATAAAATTAAAAAAAAAGAGTAAAATGCTTCAATAGCAAGCAGACTTGATATCCTAAGAATTCAAATTTTTAGAAATGTACATGCAATTATATGAGTATACAAAGAGTTTAAAATTACTTCTATATACAACTGAAAAGGTAAAATACTGTAAACAATTTAAATTTACATGTTAGGAAATAATTCTGGTTTTGATGTTGAAAAACTACATCACAATCCTTTCCTAATGCTTTTTAAAGTTTTATCTTTATAACTTGTTTCTTTTCTATATGGCTCAATTGTGATTCATGGCTCAAAAATTCATTTTTATATTTAAGAATCTCACTAATTTTAAGCTAACTAGATAAGAAGTGGAAAGAGTGATTCTATTATTCCATCTAAAAAGAATGTGGGATAAGCATTTGGTCTAGTGGGTAAGACACAATTAAGATGGTTGCATCCCACATCTGAGTGTCTGAGTTCAGTTCCCAGCTCTGGCCCCCAGCTGCAGCTTCCTGGCAATGCAGATCTTTACAGGAAGCAAGTGATGACTCAAGCAGTTGGGTCTCTGCCATAAATGTGGGAGACCTGGATTGAATTCCTGGTTCCTCCATCTGGTCCTAGCCCAGAGCTCTATATCTGTCTCTTTACATTCCAATTAAATAAACAGCATTAAATAAAATCCAAAAATCAATGAACCTAAACAAACAGATTTTTTTTTTTTTTTTTGACAGGCAGAGTGGACAGTGAGAGAGAGAGACAGAGAGAAAGGTCTTCCTTTGCCGTTGGTTCACCCTCCAATGGCCGCCGCGGCCGGCGCGCTGCAGCCGGCGCACCGCACTGATCCGATGGCAGGAGCCAGGAGCCAGGTGCTTTTCCTGGTCTCCCATGGGGTGCAGGGCCCAAGCACCTGGGCCATCCTCCACTGCACTCCCGGGCCACAGCAGAGGGCTGGCCTGGAAGAGGGGCAACCGGGACAGAATCCGGCGCCCCGACCGGGACTAGAACCCGGTGTGCCGGCGCCGCTAGGCGGAGGATTAGCCTAGTGAGCCGCGGCGCCGGCCCTAAACAAACAGATTAAAAAGAAATGGACAACCCAGAAAGAGACTCACACACAGATGAGCAGCTAATTGTTTATCAAGAAGTAAAAGCACTCAGTGGAGTAGCTAGCTTTTTTGGGGAAAACACATTTTTCCTTTCTCTTCCTAAAGTTTTGTTTATTATTAATTTATTTCAAAGGGAGAGAAAGAGAGGAGAGTAAGACAAGAGAGACACACAGAGACAGGGAGAGTGAGTGCTCTTTCATCCTCTGGTTCACACCCCAGATGCCTGCAACAGCCAGGGCTGGGCCAGGCTGATGTCAAGAGCCAAGAGCTCCATCCAGGTTTCCCACTTGGATGGCAGGGACACAAGCACTGAGCCACCACCTGCTGTGTTCCAGGATGTGCACTAGCAGGGAGCTAGACTCGAAGTAGAGCACCAACTTAAACCCAAGCACTCTATCCCAAGACATGGTGTGATGGCTGTGCCACAATGCTTGCCCCAGAATAGCCTTTTGAACAAATTGTACTGGAATAAATGGCTATTCATCTGCAAAAAGAAAACAAAATAAAAATGTGTACTCCTACCATCTATCACCTAAAATAATGAACTCTAAATGGATCATAGACTTAGAAGTAAATCCAAAAACTCTAAAACCTCTAGGAAACAAAAAAGAGAACATCACTGTTACATTGAGTTAGGCAACGATTTCTTTGATGAACATTAAAAGGATGATTCATAAAACAAGTGGACTTAATCAAAACTAAAAATATTTCTGCTAAAGGGATTAAAATGAAACAATGAGCTACAAATAGGGAGAAAACATTTGGAAATGCACCAGGATCCATAATCAAAAGAACTTTGAAAACTCAATAAGAAAACTAACATCTCAATAAGAAAATGGGCACAACAATATAACAGAGAACCTCAGAATCAGAGGTCTTGAAGTCATTCCTCTAAGACAGGACTAGAATGAAGAGCCTTCTGACACAGGACAGGTACAGAACAGAGCAGCCTTCCCTTGCTGGCCTGCACCTTCGGGCGGGCGGCCTTCTGGCCTCCACCCTGCCTCTGCTCTCCTGCTGCATGCTTGCTCCTCGCGGCACCTGGCCTGCTCTCTGCCTCGTATGGACCCAACTTAGCTTCAGACTTCTTCCTCCCCTAAATAAAGCCCTCATTTTCCTGTGCATTTCTCTCACTGAATAAAATGCTTAAAAACTTAAAACAGAAAATGCATCTTCTTTTCAGTCATTATGTACTAAACACTTTCAAACTGACAAGACAGAAGTCAACACCGACAAACAGACGGCATTGAGGGGTAAGGGGTCAAAGAGAAGCATTGCTGGAAAACCTACTACCCCGGCCTCATCTCTGCTCTTTTATTACCCACCTGAGATAACTTTCTGCCCCTTTTTGACCTCACCACAATTTTCCCCCTATTCCAATATCTGTAAAAGCTAATTCTTTCCTGTCTGGCCACCTGCTCCAGCCACTTCATCACTTAAACTCGCTGATCCAATCTTTCGTCATTCCCCACCTCCTCAGCTGTCAGGGAGGTTATCCGTCTGATCACGCTTTACGTCTCCTAGCCCCACCTCCCTAGAGTGTCCTGTTCCTGTCCTTGCTACTTTTAGTCTTCACCCTTCCCATCCATATGTTGTTAGATCTATCTTGCCTTCCTTCTCTCACTCTGAAAATTTCATGAATGTCATTCACAATAGAGCTATCCCTTCCACCAAGTCCCAGAATGCAAGCTAGGCTTAGACATAAGGAGAGCCCTACACTTATCCTCTGGGGAGCTGATGCTGTATCAGCGGGAGGTCATTGCTGGTATGAAAAATTAGAAAGGTGAGTACATTTACAAGTTAATTTTATCAAATTACACATTTTTAAAAAGCCAAATAGGGGCATCGTGGTATAGCAGGTTAAGCAAAACCAGCTCCATAAATGGGTGCTGGTTCATGTGCCGGCTGCTCCACTTCCAATCCAGCTCCCTGCTAATGGCCTAGTAAAAACAGTAGAAGATGGCCCAAGTGTTTGGGTTCCTGCCACCCATGTGGGAGACCAGCAAGAAGTTCCTAGCTCCTGGCTTTGGGCTGGTCCAGCCCCAGCCATCTGGGGAGTCAATCAGATGGAAGATCTCTGGGTGTCTCTCCCTCTCTCTGCCTTTCAAACAAACAAATCTTTTTTAAAAAAGCCAAAGAGTTATACAAACCTTATAACAAAACTGAAGTCTCTTTCTCAAATCTCACCATCATGAAATTCTCTCTAGAGACCATTACTTTCAGTCCTATTAACTGTTTCTTTTGTTAGCCACCTCCTTTATATTTCTAAATTAAATATATTTAACACTTCTATTATTATTCAAATATATTCATATTTGAGTCATGTACTTTGAGCTATATTCATCATTTTTGCCGCAAGTTTTTGTTTTTCCTTTGAGTAATTTATTACCCAATTTTAAACAATTTGAGAAACAAGAGTTCCTGTCTGCACTTCCCAGTGTCTGCATCAGCAGGGCTGGGCTGGGCCCAATACCAGCAGCTGTGAATTCAATCCAGGTCACCCATGCAGGTGGTAAGAACACAATTACTTGAGCCATCATTGCTGCTTCCCAGGGACTGCATTAGCAGGAAGCTGGAGTCAGAAGCCAGAGCCAGGACTTGAATCCAGGTATTCAGATGTGAGACAAAGGTGTCTTCATTGCTAGGCTAAATGTCTGTTCCCTATTACCTAATTTTTTAAAAGATTTATTTATTTATTTTAAAGTCAGAGTTATGGGGTCGCAGGGGGGTCTTCAATCCGCTGGTTCACTTCCCACTTGGCCGTAACAGCAGGAGCTGCAGTGATCCAAAGGCAGGAGCCAGGAACTTCTTCCGGTCTCCCACGTGGGTGCAGGGATCCAACGACTTGGGTCATCTTCCACTGCCTTCCCAGGCCACAGCAGAGAGCTGGATCGGAAATGGAGCAGCTGGGACTCGAACTGGTCCAACATGGGATGCCCGCACTGCAGGTGGCAGCCCCACCTATTACCTAATTTTGTATTAGTTTTCTAAGCACTTGTCACTGTTTCATCCTAACTTTTTACAGAACTTCAAATTTCCACACAATACTTTCAAAATCACTAGGTTATCTATCCATTTATTTTAACTTTCCCCCTCCCCACTCCCTTCCTCCTTCCCTAGTCTAGAGGAAGTAATGATATTAGAGACCTATATTCACTTGCTCAAATTTGAGTTGATGATCCACTTAGACATGTTGCACAGGTATTTTCTTGGGATTATCCTTTACCATTATCCTAATAAATTCTTTTGCATATTTCCAGTATTGGAGCCTTCAATTTCTGGATCCTGTGATTTCTCTATTGACTTACTGTTTGTTTTTTATTGGAGCACCTCCTTCATTTCCTGAGAAAAGGTCATGGGAGACCTGTCTAAAAACTTCCTTATACTATAACCACACTTGAGTTAACAGTTTGGCTGGGTATAGAACTCTAGGTTCTCACACTGAAGAGACTACTTCCAGTTTCCGATGTGACAGCATTTAAACTTCACTGTTCTTTGGCTTGTTCTGCCCCACCTCTAGGGTGGCAAGAAATCCCTCGTACTCCATCTTTCACTAACAGTGGCGAGCACAAACCATATGTAAGAAACCTCATTCCTGTCCCACCTTCTGACCACTGTAAAAATCCTGTCCGTCTCCTTTCCTTGCTCACAAACCAGCTTCAGTCCTCTTTGAGAGCTTTTTCTCTAGAAAGCCTCTCTTAGTGTGTGGACAACATCATCAGTCTGGACAGTCAAGTCAAACTTTGGTTGATGATTGGTCCTACTTCTACAAAATCAGTTTTCAGAAGTTAAAATTCATTTTCCTACCATATTCAACCTTCCTGAATTGCTCTTCAGAAGCCCAATGCCATCTGTATTCTAGACTGCTTATCTGGAACTAATTCTTTTTTTTCTATGGAAGACTGTTTTGTTTTG